ATTCAACTTCAGCATACTTTCAGCTATTTCAGCTATCAAAATGTTTAACTCTTCAAGGACATTCATCATTCTATTCAGAACCTTTGTAAACTTTATGCTTTTGAAATATTTAGCTTTATTTTGAAAATCTTGCCCCATTCAAATGAATGGGGAATTTTTTTAGTTCTGCACACTTTCAGCTATTTCAGGTATCATCATGTTCAGCTCTTCAAGGACATTCATGCTTCTATTCCGAAGTTTTCTAAACTTCATACTTTTGGAAATATTTTGTTTTATTCTGAAAATCTTGCCCCATTCCAATGAATGGGAAAATTCAACTTCAGCATAATTTCAGCTATCAAAATGTTCAGCTCTTCAGGGACATTCATGCTTTTGTTCAGAATTTTTCTAAACTTCATACTTTTTAAATATTTAGCTTTATTTTGAAAAACTTGCCCCATTCAAATGAATGGGAAATTTTTTACTTCTGCATACTTTCAGCTTTTTTAGCTATCAAAATGTTCTGCTCTTCAAGGACATTCATGCTTTTATTCAGAAGATTTCTAAACTTCATACATTTTAAACTATTCTGCTTTATTTTGAAAATTTTGCCCCATTCAAATGAATGGGGAAATTCAATTTCAGCATACTTTCAGCTTTTTCAGCTATCAAAATGTTCAGCTCTTCAAGGACATTCATGCTTCTCTTCAGATCTTTTCTAAACTTCAGTTTTGACATATTTAGCTTTATTTTGAAAATCTTGCCCCATTCAAATGAATGGGAAAATTCTACTTCATAATTTCAGCTATCAAAATGTTCAGCTCTTTAAGGACATTCATGCTTCTCTTCAGAAGTTTTTAAAACTTCATACTTTAGAAATATTTAGTTTTATTTTGAAAATCTTGCCCCATTCAAATGAATGTGAAATATTGTACTTCAGCATACTTTTCACTAGCCTACCAAGGACAGCCATTTTGCCCCATTCAAATGAATGGAAAAATTCTATTTCAGCATATTTTCAGCTATTTCACCTATCAAAATGTTCAGCTCTTCAAAGGCATTCATGCTTCTCTTCAGAATGTTCTAAACCTTATACCTTTGAAATATTTACCTTTATTCTGAAAAATCTTGCCCCATTCAAATGAATGGGAAAATTCTACTTCAGCATACTTTCAGTTATTTCAGGTATCAAAATGTTCAGCTCTTCAAGGATATTCGTGCTTCCATTCAGGATTTTTGTAAACCTTATACCTTTGAAATATTTAGCTTTATTTTGAAAATCTTGCTCCATTCAAATGAATGAGAAAATTTTACTTTGACATATTTTCAGCTAGCCAAACCATTCAGATGTCAAAATGTTCAGCATTTTCAGGGCAGTCTTTCAGCACTCAGCACCCATATGCATTTTCTTCAGAAAAAGCATTTCTCTAGTTATCATTATTTTGGGTTCTTCCGTCCTTTTTTGGCACTTTATAAGTCCAGCATACTTTCAGCTATACAGGCCATTCCAGTATCTACCTGTTCAGCTCTTCAAGGACATTCTTGCTTGTATTCTATTTTTTTCTAATGTTCATACTTTTTAATTTATTCAGCTTTATTGTTTACAATACAAGTCAACGGGACAGACAGGAAGCAGCATGTGAGGCTTGAGAAAATCACATTCAACACCTGGACTATCAGCACAGGTTCCTCCCAGGGATGTCTGCTCTCCCCACTACTGTTTTCCCTCTACACAAATGACTGCACCTCAGAGGACCCCTCTCCCAAACTCCCAAAGTTTGCAGATGACACAACTGTCATCAGTCTCATCCAAGATGGTGAGGAGTCTGCCTACAGACAGGAGGTTGAACAGCTGGCCCTGTGGTGCGGTTGCAGCAACATGTAGCTGAAAATGCTCAAAACAAAAGTGGAGGTACACATTGTTACCTACGCATGCGTGGATCGTCCAACACACACGAATCACCTTCCGCGCACACACGGATTTTTGAGAGTGTTTTTCCGCACTCTCAAAAGTCCACGATCCACGAATGCACGGTGCGTTTAAGGACACGTGGAAAACTCGGACATCTGAGTTTCCAAACCTGTTTCCCAAACAAAAGTATTTACACAATGCTATT